AAGGGCCACGGGGCAAAGCCCCGGGCATCATGACTGAGAACTGTCATTGCTCCATGCAAGTGCATTTAAAAAGACAGACCCCCCCCCTCTTCTAGCCAGCGCGGGGGCGGGGGGAAGGACTCTGGGGAGCTGCTCCGGGGAGGGAGGAGGGTTCGAGGCCCAGTCTGTGGGGATGGGGGGAGCCCCCCTTGCCAGCGCTCACCCCATCTCCCCCCAGCTGAAGGCTGAGCCCAGCATGGGCAGCCCCCTAGACGCTCTGGGCCCTGCGTGCCTGGAAGACTGCACTGAGGGCGACATCTCCAGCCCGGCCTCTACGGGCACGCAGGTATGGATACCCCCCCCGCTGGGCAACCCCCCCTGCAGTGACTGGCTGTGGGCAGCAGGGGGTGCTACCAGTTGGCTGCCCCCCCCACAACCACACAGCACCTGGGGGCACAGCTGGTGGGGGGCACTCTGGAGCCCTCATGGTGCCCCTCTTGTGCCAGGACCCGCTGCTGGGGCTGCTGGACCCCCGGGAGGATCTGGAGAAGGAGGAGGGCCGGGCTGAGGCCGAGGCCGTGTACGAGACCTGCTGCCGCTGGGAGGCCTGTGCCCGCGACTTCGACACCCAGGAGCAGCTCGTCCACGTGAGCTCCCCCACCCTGTGGTGCCCCTGTCCCCCCAGCCTGGCAGTGCCCCTCACTCCTGACCCACAGCCCCTGCTTTCCCCTCTCTTGCTGCTGCCTCTCACTCCCAACCCACAGCCCCTGCCCCCCCAGCCCCGTGGTGCCCCTCACTCCTGACCCCCAGCCCTGCCTCTGCCCCTCACTTTATACCTGCAGCCCCCCCCAGTGGGTTTTGAAGCCCTTGAATCAGCCTGTCCTGTAGAGCAGCTGGGCTGAGACCTGCCGAACTCACTTCACCTGTGATCTGAGCCTGCCCAACCCCTGCTTGGGGATCCCCGTGTCTCCCACCCCACTGCTCCCTGACCCCTGGCTACAGCTCCCTGACACCCCCCCCCCAATCTCCCCCTGAAGCACATCAATAACGAGCACATCCACGGGGAGAAGAAGGAGTTCGTGTGCCACTGGCTGGCCTGCTCGCGGGAGCGCCGCCCCTTTAAGGCCCAGTACATGCTTGTGGTGCACATGCGGCGGCACACGGGGGAGAAGCCCCACAAGTGCACGGTGAGGCAGGGCTGGGCGGGGCAGGGGCACGGGGCTGGCGGGTGAAGGGTAGGTGACCATGGCAGGGGCATGGCGGGATGGTGGTGTGACAGGAGCATAGCCATGGCATGATAGTGGAGTAGCTGTGGTGTGACTGGTATGGCCATGGCGTGATGGTGGCATGACCATGGTGTGACTGGCGTGTCTGTAACGTGATGGTAGCATAACCATGATATGGCCATGGGATGATGGTGATGTGGTGACTGTGGCATGGCCATGGCATAATGATGATGTGACCATGGTGTGGCCACGGCGTGATGGTGCTGTGGTGGTGGAAGCGTGACTGTGGCTTGACTGGTGTGGCCACGGGGTGATGCTGGCATGGCGGCAGCACAGGCAGACGGGTGGCATGGCGATGGCGTGGAGGGACAGTGGCGCATGGGCAACGTGAGTAGGTGCTGACGCAATGCCGTGCAGTTCGAAGGCTGCCACAAGGCCTACTCACGCCTGGAGAACCTCAAGACCCACCTGCGCTCGCACACGGGTGAGAAGCCGTACGTGTGCGAGCACGAGGGCTGCAGCAAGGCCTTCTCCAACGCCTCCGACCGTGCCAAGCACCAGAACCGTACCCACTCCAATGAGGTACCCCTACCCAGACCCCCCTGCCCGCCTTCTCCCAGATAACCCCCGACTTGAACCCCCCCCACCCCCTCCCAGATACCCCCCC